CAGCCACACCTGCAAACGAGAGCAAAGCATCTCTCCCTCCTCCCAAGGCCTCTTCACAAAACACAGAGATGGTGGTTGGAATATTTTGTCCTTTTGTAGCTCATTAAAATTTTGGTGTTGGCAGGAGAGTCAATCAAATGCTAGCAATGCAACCCAAATATTTTCCCAGATGGGCTGAACATTGTACCAGAAAGCAATTGAAGAAATTATTTTCTCTGTTGGCAGGGTGATTTCAAAGGCACTTTAGTCTCTGAATGTCTCTTAGATGATTAAATATTTCAAGCCATTTTCAATGTCACTGATTCAGATTAATCAAATATTGAGGAGATGGGGTTAAAGCTGGAAGATGTGTTCTCTTTGGCCTCTCAGTGTATTGGCATCAAACCTGTAGGATAAATGCTCCAAACAAGAGGCCTTTATATTCTAAGTTTCATGGAAGCATAAATGCTTCCCTTGCCAGGGAATCCTAAAGCTTCCTACAAGTCAGGATTCCTCCAAAAAACACTGGAACTATTAAAATGGGACCAACTTGGGAAAAACCTCACATCTCAGTGATTCAGAAAGAATAATATAAAGAACCAGCATAGGTCTGAATTACAAAAATGCCTGTATTAATATAAGTTTGGCATTACAAGACACATTTCTGTGTGAGCCAAGAGCCAGCAGAACATACATGTAGGAAAAGTTAATACAAGAAACAAATGCCACAACCACATTCATGGATGTACATGAGGATGGTTCAGATCCTCAGCTGATGGAAGTAAACCTCCATCATCTGTTGCAAAGGAGATACAGGGATTTACCCAGCTGAGGCTTCAGCTCAATCTATGGAAATACTGTTGATGTCAAGTGGCCAGTGGGCATTGACAGGGAAGGAAGTCAGAGCAGGGAGCCTTTGTCTCTTTGGATTTCTTCAGGAAATAATGAAGGAAACAGAATATATCAGAGGGATTGGGTACAAGAAAAACAACTTGAGCTCCACTCCTGTAATCTGGTATTCACTCCAATGTCCTCAGAAGCTGCCACTGGGAGGCTCAGCCCAAGGCCCCAAATGAACTAAAAAATGTTCCTTTGCGGGAAAAAAAACCCCTCTCAGAACGAGTTATGTTGGTTTTTACAAGGAACCACACATGCTCATAGCCTGATTTAAAGAAAAAAACAAAGAAAAAAACCCCCAATTCTTTGCTAGCAAGAATGTTTTTGCTCTCAGAAGATAATCCATTGGTAATGTTGCATCTGTAATTAATTTTGAATAAAACAGAAAGCTCACACACACTCACTGATCTGAATTTGTAAAAACAGACACACTTTGCTATCATTTTCATAATGGCCCCTTGTTCATCCCACACCAGGCATTTCAGGGTGCACCCGCTCAGCTTTCTTAGTTTCCAGGTGTAGGCTTTTGTAGCTGGAAAAAATATATATCATGCAAACTCTGTTTTTTTTTAATATCTCTGGATTTAAAAATATCAGTGGTTAAACTAAGAACTCTGTTACAAGTAGAAAGGAAAGGATGAAAGCTGTAAGTGAGAAAAAAAATGGAGGAAAAATCAGGGTCACCTGGTTAAAGTCAGACAAAAGCCACATTTCAAAAAATGTACCCTGTAATTTAGTCAAAATGGAAAGGACAGGAAAAAGGTCAATATTGTTTTAAATGAGACTAACAGCTTCCTTTATGTAATGGGTGAACTCCAGTGTGTTTCCGGATGATTGGCAATTTAGCTGCTTGGGGGAAAAAAAAAAGGTTAAACTTATCAGCACATAAAAGTGCCAGCAATTTATTTCTGTCACTTTCCTACAAATTAACCTATTTTAAGGCATTCTGAACCTCATCAGCAAGCCCAGGTGTGGCTGGGAATGGGGGTCACCACGAGGCCTACATGCATAAGGAAAACGTGACAGCAGCTCTGGGAGGCAACAGCCACACAAAGGAGCTCTTGAAGATGAATCCCATGAGGATAGGGTTTATATTTTCAAAAAGAGAAAAAAATACTCAACACTCTCCTAAATGAGTGAGATTTGCTCGGCCTAAACACTAATGTGGACCCTGAGGTGTGATACCCTGCATCTCTGTGCATGCTGGAGAGTGTGAGGGATGGATGCTCCAGGAGGATGAGCTTCCAGAGTTCTGGTCCATCAGAAAAACATTTGTGGACCTGCATCCCACCCTGCCCAACCCCTGGCTTTGGAACTCAGAGAATAAGGACAAGCAAGGAAAACACAACTTTAACTCATCCCTTCACCCAGCTCCAAACCCTACCATAAACCTGCACGTGACTGGGGTTTTTAGGCTGTAATCCCTGCAGTCAGCGTGGAGAGAACACCCTCTAGAGCAGCTGCAGCATCAGCCTGCTCAGCTGTCTGTCTGTCTGTCTGTCTGTCTGTGGTGTTGAGGGCAGTTACAGCTCGATGGACAAACATAAAGCTGGGGTCACACCCCTGGTGACAATCCCAAGAACAGGGGAGGTCACACAGTGTGTGCTCGGGCATGGAGGCTTCCCATCAATCCCATTTTTTACAGAGAAGTTATTGATCAATCTCCATTTATTTTCCCCATGAGGCTGGCTTGGCTTTATTCCACATCTTTCACTAGTGGGGTGTCTCAGGGCTGAGGAGGAGGTGGGAGAGAGATGGTCAGAGATGGTCAGCAGTAGAGTTTGGGAAAGGATTGTGACATCCATGGGATGTGAAAACTGGAGAAATGGTACAGATGGAGGTAGGAAGGGGTCTGAGAGGGAGAACAGACCCAAACCCACCTCTGAAAGCCCCCAAAAGACACAGGTCCACACAGCAGGGAAGGAATAAAAGCAGAAAAGTAGCATTTTTGTTCATTGATTTATATAAGAGATAGAGGCTTTCCTAAAGACATCAGCTTAAAGGAGACCTTTAGCACTAACATTTTCAAACAACAGTGGTCTTTCCTTTCCATGCTGATTACAGCCCTTCTAAAAGCCTACAGTCACCTCGTGCACTGGGGCTGGGCAAGGCTCTACCACACAGCACTCTGCAATTTGGACAGAAAATAGCATAATTAATATAAACATAATAGCTACAATTTTCAAGAGGACCAACATGGAAGTCTAGTGGATTGAGGCTCCTGTTCCATTTGTGGCCTGAAGTTTCCACAGTCCAGAGGTGTGGCCCTTCATGGTGAGGTGCTCAGAGCTCTGAAATTCCAGGATTTTTACCTGGTGCAGCCTCTCAAAGAGGAGATGAATGGCTTTGGGCTGCATCACTGAGCCTCACTGCAATGCTTTTAGCCAAAGCAATGGCTCTCCCTTTAAAACACACTGGGTAGATAAAGCAGCATCTTTCAATATCTGGATATTTTTTAGTGTTGATTTTAAAGACAAGGATGCTTGACTGGCTGCTCTACACAGTGATAAAGCTCTTAATGATTGCTCAAGATACATCCACAGGTGAACCTGCCAGTGAGTTAATCAGCAGGAGAGTCTTGACCCAGTGGCATTTTGATCTTTGGGATTTCAATGACTGTTTATGGCCCCTTTTTTCTTCTCTGACTAGTAAAATCATCATCAGCAGCAGCAGTTCTCCTTCATAACCAGATTGCTCTAGAGCTAAACGCTGACCAGGAGCAAACTGCTGACCTCAAATTAACAGCAAAGACAAGATTCTTGTAAAACTTACATGAGTATGATTTCAATTCAGGCCATTAAAATATTTCAACTACTTCTGTTTGAACCTCAGTGCATCTTTTCTTGAATACCTAAAATACCTGTTTTAATCTGCTATAGACATCATTACGTCTTGTGACACAACACTTACTCTCGTGATTACTCCTACAGATGATCAAGAAAAAAAGTGAAAATATGAGCTATTTTCAAGCAGTGAAGGGAGCCTTTAAAATTTATCTTTTATATAAAATTAATACAGGCTAATTATCTTTAATAGGAGTTGCATTCACAACTGGAATAAAATATGATATAAGCAGCATCAGAGGGGATGGGCTGTAGATGTCCAGCAAAGTTTTCAGGGTCAGGTACAGTGTATTGTGCAGGGAGCTGGTAAATACGAGTTTAGGGAGAAAATTAGGAAGGCTTAATTCTCATTCATTTTTCCCCCCTCTGGTATGAGACAGTCAGGCAGCAGCTCATGTTACAAAAACATTAACTTCCAGAGGCCTTTAATAACAGCCTTCAGTGAACCCAGAAATGCTAAGAGGAACAATTTTGCAGTCTAGGGTATTTGAATCAGTAGCTTTTCATATCACAGTTGAGGCATAAATAGCCATTGTATCTGCTGAAATTATTTCGATCAACTTATGTATTCACCAAGTGGTGTCACTACCACCGTTCTCCATCGCAGTGCTGGAGGAGCTCAGATTCGAGGAACTTGACAGGATAATTAAGTATGAAAGCAGACTGGATTTAGCAGGACCCCAGTGAGTCAACAATCCCGATTGTTTCATCATCTCGGCTTTGTGCTGTTCATATCTTATCAGATTAGATAACAATCTGGTATAGCTACGAGTTGAATTACCATGTTGAACTGCACAGTTAGACCACATGAAAAACATCAATACACATTTAAATAATCCCATTTTCAAACTCAGATAAGAAATGGCCAACCTCTACAAATCAAAGGCATATCCTCAGGCTAAAATAAAGAGTGGTCTGATTACCTATTCAGTGATATCAAAGTGCAACAATCAAATGCTATTGCCAATATAACGCAGAGGGCCTTATAGCAGAGCAGGAACACGATGGCCTCCTGACAGCCAGTATCAAAGCTGAAATTCACAGGTTGCACATTTCAAAGGTGAGGAAAGGATGTAGCCAGGTATCTCCCACCAAATGGAAATCTTCCAGTGCCTCAGAGCTTCTTCCTCCTCCTCATGTTCCTCCTTTCAGGGCTCACAGGGCTGATGTTCTCAGCCTCCAGTGCAGAAGCTCAGGGGGTCTCCAGGCAGCAGATCTCCGCTTTTGTAACCTTTCCATTACCCTGCCTGGACACAGAGTCTGTTACCAGCCCACACACGCAGTTCCTCTTGCTCTATCTTCCCAGAATGAACCCTGCTCTCCCAGAAGTCCCATTTCACACTCTTTTCCATAGGAGAATCCCTGGAGGTGGCCAGGTCATAGTACCTGTAGGAGATTGAAATTGTTTCTAACTTGTCCTGAATTGAGAAGAAAATTAAGCTCGGAGAAGTTAAATTTGAGATGAATATGTGGCCCTTTTAATTACAGTCACAATTTCTGCCACCCTGCCAGATCCTGACACGCCATGAAAAGCAAGAGAAAATCTGCATTAAGAACTTTGTTATTGAGAATGAAAATCGAACTGAATAAAAATTAAACAGGGATCAATTCTCTTTAAGCACTGCCAGTCATTCCCCTTCCTTCCTCCTTTCCCCACCCCTCACATATTCTCCTCTGATCTTTTATGCAGCTATTTGCAAACTAACCATTAGTTGTCAGTCTCCAGCCATGCAGAGCTGGCAGCTGGAGGATCTTGCTCCGGGAGAGAACTGCACCCATGGACCCATGGATTTTACCACTGGAAAGCAGAATGAACTGGGGGAGGAGAGGGACATTAGCCATTTTTTCACATTTTTGCCCAATTATTTTCAAAGTTTCCTTTGCTGGAAATACTTTTGATGTTGACATTCTCAGAAAAAACAGTGGAGGAGCACACATTTCCCATAAATGCCCCATCCCTGGAAGTGCTGTACGGGGCTTGTAACAGCCTGGTCTAGTGAAAAGTGTCCCTGACAGGGAGGTTGGAATGAGATGAGACTTAGGTCCCTTCCAAATCAAACCATTATGGGATTTTGTGAAAATAGCCCACTGCATTTGATGCATTTTTCTAAATGGAGAACTCGCATCTGGGTTTGCTCAGAAGCTCTTTGGCTGCAGATTAGGTCCTGCAGCAAAGAATATCTGCGAATTTCCAGACTAAATGGAAGCTGACCTGGCAGTGAGCACCATCCTCATGATGAAATGAGCAGTCTGCAAGTGTGGAGGGTAATAAAATATGGGCTGTGGATATTCTGGGCACTCATCTTGAAAAAGAGCAGGGTGTACATTAATAGGAAAGGAAAGTGTCAGAGTGAAAATACCTTTGGTGTGCTGATGCTGGATGAAGATGTGTGAATAAATCGTAACTCGATCTGTTAAGCTGTTATCTACTCATGGCTTATATACCCTCCAGGACATGGTTCATCTGACCAGGAGTGGTCAGAGAACAATTTCCCTCAAGGGGCACAGTGTAAGCTTTGAGAATAATTGATTTTTTGAATGGTGCCCATATAGAGGGCTGTGTGCATCTGTACTTCATTTTGGGTCAAACAGAGCATGTTCTGTCCAAAATGAAATGTCTAACTCCCATACCTTTATTTAAAACAAGATTTATCCAGAGAATAATGAGTTTGAGAATACATGAGTTTTAAATTTTGCAAGTATATAATTTAGGAAATTTCTAAAAAAAATCCTGTTTTAATGTTTCCAGCTTTGCTAATTAAAGTGATTTATGAATTCGAGCCATATTAATGTTGAATGCGATTTTTAGTGACTAAACCATCCATACAGCACATTTTCTGGGACAATATTTACAATGTGATTGAAGGAAAACCGCAATCCAAAAGCTGGAATTTGGGACAGTGGCATTTTGAACCCAGAAGCTGTCCAAGGACAGAGGAGGGGGAATTCAGCCATTGGCTCAGCACACCTCGGAGGATTCCCCTGAGCAGATACTTGGAGCTCTGCTTGGCAGCACGAACTCCCAGCCTTGCATTCTCATCTTCTTTATGGGTGTTGGCAGCAGAAACCAACATTTTTCCTTACAACTTCCCCAGAACCCTTATGTGACGCAGGCCCAATGTCAAGAAATCAGTCAGCTCCTCAGTTACAGGTTTTTTCCTCCAGCCTTTCACGGGTGCTCAAAGCAGCAGCCCCTGAGCTCACAGCCTGTGTGCTCGGGATGATCTGAGTGTCTTCTCCAACATAAATGATTCTGTGATTCCAAGTGGAGGAATGTGATTGTGCAGCTCGTTCAGGCTGTCACAGCTCATCACATTCCCAGGACTCCTGTGCGCTGAGGTTAGAGAGACATTTCCAAAATAAGGAGCAAAACACTAAGGAGATATTTCTGGATGGGAAACAGATTTTTTTTTTTTTTCCCCTTTAAAAATGTATTGATATATACATCGATGAGCTAAACTGACAAGCTGTGCTTGAGAAAGGAGTAATTGCATCTTTAATAATATTAAACCTGACACCTGCCTTGGCCTATAACACGAAGTCCTGACACTACTTAGCTAACAATTAGGACACACAAAAAGAATGAAGGGGAAAACAGTATTAAACTCAATCTGCATTTTAAAGAACATAAAAATAAAAACTGTTAATTGTCTAACACTTCACTAATTCCATCAGGCATACAATTTAAAAATAGCTTTGCTTTTTCACTGAAAGAGGAATTAATTATGATATCTTCCTGAATCCCATATAAGAGAAAAAATATTTTGGATAGGCACAATGCTCTTAGAAAGAAAACCCCCATGCTAATTTGTTTCATAAGCACAATTAGAAGAGATGTCCTCCATTAGAAAAAGAACAGAGAGCTACATAGCTAAAGGATATTATTGCAAAATGATAAATTGTTCAAAGGCAGGAGTGAAAAAGAGGGTCTTGTCTTTAGTGCTAAAATGCCATGTTATCTTGTTTAAGTGGCATAACTTTGCAAAAGGCATCACAACATTTCAACCTTTTAAAATGTCATTATTAAAAAATACATATCACAAGTGGTGTCCTTATACACTGCTTTATTTTTCCCTTTCCCTTTCTCTCTCTGTCTTTTTTTTTTTTTTTTAAGGGCTAATGTAGTATTTCCAACTTCAAAGGGAAAAGGAAATGGCAAAGATGGTTCAAGGTGATCTTGAGTACCGCCAAATGTAAATAGGTTTAGAAGAAAATTTGGCTTTGTAGGGTTTCTTTTCCTCTGTGTGCATGTTCATCTGTGTTTTAAATATAAACCAAACACATCCTGCCAGCTGGGTGAATATTGTCTGTAGCACTGGGGGTTTGAGATGGGGGATCCTCCCTGTGCCAGGTTTTTCCCCATCCTGATTGCAGGGAGAGATGTGGAATGACACCGGGTGCAGCTCAGACCCTGCAGGTGCTGGGAGCTTTTGCTTATTTATTTATTTCTTGGAAGGGCACCTTAATCATCACCACCATGCTGCTTACTCCTCTCCTTTTTTTTTAAATTTGTATTTTACCTTTGCAGTCACACTTGGGTTTCTTCAGGGAAATAAATCTGTGGCTCAGTGTAACAAGAGAAAATTATTTTTTCTCAGTTTGCTGCCTGAGCACAGTGAAACATTTTATGAGCACCTGTTTTTATCAGCAATGGTGGCAGAAAAACGAAGGGAGGAAGAAAGGAGACAGCAAAAGTCCCTTAGGTAAATGTCAGAGGCTCCTTGTTGAACCAACAGATAGATGACCATGCAGAAATTGTCAGGGATTAACCAGAATCATGGAATGCTAGAATGGTTTGTGTTGGAAAGGTTGAAGCTCATCTCATTCCAGCCCTCCCACCATGGGCAGGGAACATTCCACTAGACCAGGTTGTTTAAAGTCTTATCTAATCTGGCCTCCAAGCAGGTTGAGTCCATGGCTGGCAGTGGGGTTTATTTCTATTCTCTATTTCTAGATTTTATCCAGCCAAAGAGTGACCAAAAGCTCAAATTAATCCCTTAATTTTTTTTTTGTTGTTGTTGTTGAAACCTTTCTTCTATTCATCCAGGAGTTTTGCAATTGATTTCAGTGGGTAGGATTAAAAAGTAAAAGGGAGGCTGGGACTCCCTCAGACTTTGACTTCTTAAAGTTGCTGTGTATGCCTGGAGGAAAGTGTGGAACTGTGAGCTGCAGTTCTTGTTCTATGCTGGGTTGAATGGATAAACTCTGATTTCAGTCCAAGAACCCCAAACCAGGAATTTTGGTGTTGTTACCTCTGGAATATCCTGCAAATAAACCAACAACACATGTATCTAAATGAAGTGTGCACACATTCATCTTCCTGCAGACACATGCATGTACACTCACACTTATGTTATAAAGATATGCACTTCCCTAATTTATGCTACATAGAAAACCCCACACTGCTCTTACAATGGGAACACAAATAACTATAACTGAACTTGATTTGTGGTTTTTTTTGCAGTTTTTACATTGCACTTCTGTCAAAGAATCAATGACACTGTATATATGCAGCAGAAGCATATGCATTTATTTATACATATAGAGCATGTTATATCTATACATATAAATGGATTATTTATTTTGAGAAAAAGTATTTCTCAAAATTTCATGACAGTTCATCGTATTGAAGGTGCGGTAGTTGGGTTAAAATGACACTGTTGAGCCCCTGGGGTCTTTTTTAATAAATATATTTTTGGCTTCTGCCTTCTGGAAATCTGCACCAGGCTTTGAAACTCCTGAAAAATTGATTTGCTTTTTTATTGCTGCTTAGTCCACACTATAGGCTGGACATATTTTCTTCTTTTAATTGAATCTGCCTATTACACTGCACAAGTGCCAGGACATCAATTTAATATCTAGATTTCTTTTTTTTTTTTTTTTTTTGGTGAGCTTTCAAACACACACAAACCCCCCTTATTTAATATGGTTGGATGTTTCTATTCCGCTCCTCGGAGTTTTGATTTGTCTATTAGCATTACAGTAGCTGTCCAAGTTGTGTGATATTCCTTGGGAGAAAAAGATATAACACACTAGAGGAATCTTTTTCTCACTGCTGCTGCTTTCCTGCTGTAGCTTATCTTCTTAACAAAGACAGGACTACAGTGGGTTTCACAATCTGAGGAAAAGCACTTTAGCTGAGCGATGCACCAATGGGTAAGAACTGAGCAAAGATAAACATCCCCACATCAAGAGCACCATGAAAGCTCCAGCAAGGAGGATGTGCAGAGGCTCTCGAGAGCAGCCAGGGAGTCTCTGGCACAAAGCAGGCTCTGCCCTTCACCGCTGTGATAATCGTGCTGGGGACAAGTGTTCACCTTGCAGAAGTTAAAATCGTGCTTGTAAAAACAAAATAAATTAAAAAATCATGCCAAAACAGAAATGTA